AATTTTTCAGTCCTTTTGGTTTTTGGATGAAAATTGTCTACAGGACAAAACCAACCATATTTCTTATTTTAAAAAATGAATTTGGCTACATCAAAATTAAAAGATGTTTTTTTTGAAATATAGCTTTTGTAGAAAAAAAAATCCTTTTCTTTCATGAATTAAATTAAATGAAAATTCTGAAAATCCTATTGTACAACAACAAGACACCAATAATCAAATTCGAAAAGATGAAATTTGTCTTCTTCATTTACATGTGCATAATGTAATCATGGGCTTGGGGACCAGGACGGTTGTTTGTTTTTTTTTTGTAGAAAAACGTCACCCCATCCCCTCCCACCACCATCCCAGAATATTGTGGAAAAGAATGAAACTAAAACCTTTGAAACCTCATCTTACATGTACAGGACATCTTCAATCATATTCCCAACATGAATTGGACACTGATAAAAACGCGTACTCTGCCAAAGGATGAAGGAAATCGTCTGTCACATTGTTTTCTTCCTGAATACCCTCGTACATTTTAATCAATATTCTTTTTTTTTTTTTTCTTTCTATTTTTTTTTTTGGTAAAGGATAAAGGTTTTCCTGAAGATATGGAGAATACACGTATTTCGGATTTCCTTCATCCTTGGGCAGAGTATAGGCCTTAGAAAAAGATGTTTTTCTACGATTAAAAATTAGGTTTGCACAGCTTCTCGCATCTTATGAAGTTACCAAAACATCATTTACCCAATAGCTATATCATTTTTAAGATTATTGAATTGTTCTCTTAATGTGCAGTGGGGTATCGAAATATTCATTTTTATCACGCGGTCCAATTCGGGGTCGAAAAACGACTTTTTTTTCCTACAAACACCTGGCTCCCGGAACTTCTCTTACATTTTAGGCAGTATACAGATCATCATTTGGATGGTGTGTCATATACATTTTGTATATATTTACTGCCACCCGGTAAATTCAAAATTTCCAAGATGACAGGTGATCGACTGGTGGTGTCTTGTGGAAATGTTGTAAGATTTAGCAATTTTTATCCAAAAGGCCCTCTTTTGAACGATTTAATTGCATTATTTCTTATCTTTTTTTTTTCCAATTTTTAAACTCAAAAACTCTTCGCAAAATTAGTTTTATTTAAACAACCTTTATGCTTCATTACATTATTGTAACTGCACTTTAGTTAGAAAATTGGGTGAATTGTTTTCAGTCTGTCTCTAGCATATTAACCTCCACCTCAAACTCCCCTGACATTTTTATCAGTGTCCAATTCAGGTTGGGAATATGATTGAAGATGTCCTGTACATGTAAGATGAGGTGTAAAATGTTTTAGTTTCATTCTTTTCCACATCATTTGCGGATGGGGGTGGAAGGAGTGGGAGTGACATTCTTCTACAAAATAAAAACCGCCCTGGTCTCCAAGCCCATGGTTATATTATTTATGGCACGCCAAATTCACAAAAAAGAGCTAAACATAGTTTCACAGTTGATAAACTAGGTTTAAAGGTTGTAAACTATAGTTTACGGACTGTAAACTATAGTTAACGAAGTTAATCTACATTTTACATCTGTAAACCATAGTTAACGCGATAATCTATGTTTCAGAACCGTAAACTATACTTAACACTGAAAACAATCATTTACAATTGCAAAACATACTGTGAAATCACAAATTTTCGTTGGGGTTTAATTTTCGTTATTTTCGAGGTATGAAGAGACCCACGAATTCATGTCCACCACGAAATGTAAAATGTTACATATATAACTACTCAACAATAATTCATCCAAGAATTCAAATCCCCACGAACCAAGAGTTTTTACTCAAACCACGAAAATTCGACCCCACGAAAATATGTGATTTTACAGTAGATTACAGTTTCATGATTTGTAAAATATGGTTTACAACTCTTAATTATAGTTAACGATCTGATAAATATAGTTTCACGATTTGTGAAACTATGATTAACAACTCTTAACTATATAGTTCATGATTGTAAATTATAGTTTACAGACGTGAATCTATGTTTATCAACAAAATCTATTGTTAACGTTTTATTACAGACAGATAAACTTAGATTAGCATTCGTAAGCTATAGTTAACAACGTTAAATATGGTCTTACAGATGAAAAACTATACTTAACGAATTGTTAACTGTAGTTCACGGTTTGTAAACTATAGTTTACAGTCGATAAACCTAGTTTATCAACTTTGAAACTATCTTTAGCTCATTTTTATGAATTTGGCGTGCCATAATTATGCATATGTACAGTCATGTCAATAGACATCTTCGCTAGCCAAGGGTTTCTGATACGCTACTCTCCTCATAATCATGAGGAGAGTAGCGTTTTAGAAACCCTTGGCTAGCAAAGATGGTAAATAGACAAATTTCATCTTTTCGAATTTGATTATTGGTGTCTTGTTGTTGTACAATAGGATTTTCAGAATTTTCATTCATGAAGAAAAAAGGATTTTTTTTTTTTACAAAAGCTATGTTTCCAAAAGCATCTTTTAATTTTGATGTTGTAGCCAAAACCATTTTTTAAAAGAGATATGGCTGGTTGTTTCCTGTAGATTTTTTTTTATATAAAAACCAAAAGGGCTGAAAACATGTTTTTTCTACAAAAGCCATCCTTGCTCCAAGAACTATATTCTCACATTTAAATTATTAATAGCTATCTTCATATGTTTCATTCATTGAATCTAGACGGTTTTGGAGTTTACGAACAGTATTGAAGCTCAAAAGTCCATTAAACAATACCAATCAAAAGCAGATCTAGAGCAAACACGGACCTCTGAAACATCAGAGTTGGGGTGAGGTGCCATGGAGCATGCTCTTGCGTATCGAATCAACTATTATTTTGTTTAAAACACTCTGATTGTTCTGAAGTTGATATTAAAAAGACGGTCGAGTTTCTGATTGAAAAGAGCTTTGTGGTGTTTGGAGACCATGTCTTCCAGCAAATCCTCATAAGTTCCAATTGCACCCTCTTACTAGCTTTTTTGTGTTCATATGAATCAAGGTTTATTCAAAAACTTCTACATGAGAAGAAAACACTTGTTGCCTTTAAATTGCTTTGATATATCGACGATAGTTACTTCCATTAATATGTTGACTCGATATATCACAGTGAACTTGTAATAAAAGATAACACGGGGTCTGACACACCTGTTTCATATTGCGATATTTTATTAGAAAAAGATCTTAATGATAACCTAATAACAAAACTCTATGATAAACTTGATGACTTTTACTTTTCATCAGTCTACGTCCCTAACTTATGCAGCAATATATAACATTGCCACTTACATATGGGATTTATATTTGTCAGTTGATTCAATAAGCAAGAGCATGCTCTACCTGTGAACAATTTCTAATACGAGGCAAGTTACAGACAAACAATGTGATGAAACAAAACGAATGCCTTCCCATAAATTTTTATTAAAACAGAAAAATAGAGTATTTTAGTCATAACACATAATTTTCTATTCTAATAAAAATTTTTGGTAAGACACCACCAACAGACTCGTTTGAAGTCATCATTTTGCAAGTTTTATGGTCGCGATACAATGACCTTGTCAGCAAATACAAGCAATTATCAAATGAATGCTGACTGATATTTTTCAAACTAATTGTTAAAACATTATTCACAGACTGAATTGTCTTCGGATTTTCCTGTTATTTCAAGGTCATGACAAGGAGCACGCGGCAGGTTTTACTGGTGGTCGACATGGGATGCTCTTTCCTCCATTGCACCTGATCCCACCATATTGCGTGGCTAGGAGGAGTAACCATCCCCTGTTGACTAATCACACCCGCCGAGAGCCCCCTGCATTGATCAGCTAGACGGAACTATCCGTAGTCAAATTCAGTATAAAATCAAAGGGCTATGTAAATAAGTCAACCAAGATACGATCCAATTATTATAGGTAATGTTTGTCAAGGTTATTATAACGACCATAAAATTTTCCAAATGCCCATTTTAAACGAGGTTGTTGATTTTTTTTTTTTTTTTTAGATAAACCTTTGATCCTAAACTTGTCCCCATGATGAACATTCTGAATCCTTATTGCACAACTTCAGAATATCTCCAATCACATTCAAAAAGATGAATTAGCTATGGTACGTTAATTGTAATAGGAGTTCTAAAAACTATTCTCCTTTTTTTTTTTGGTTGAAAATGATTTAAAATGTTCATCCGCGAACAAAAGGTGAAACCAACAGTTTAGTTGAAAGTGATGGCACACTTTTTTTTCTTAAACTGAGGTTGGTTCACAATTGGAGATCAACGTTTAAAAATAAAATAAATAATGGAAAATATATTTTTTGTCAACAATGATATATTAGTATCTTGTCCAGTTTTCTTTGCCGGTGACATCGATTTCATTTTCTCCTATACCTGCAACGGGATGCTATCGTACATTATCAAATTAAGAACCCCGTCCAATTAATTTTCTAATTGATATAGCCTCGTTACCCATTTAATCCACTGACGATGTAGACTTTAGAGATGTCTAGATAACTATCTCAATAAGTTACCCACCTACCCCCGGGCCCCCATCACTTACCGACCATAGAACCGATGGAAGGCCTAAGCATCAGTCTGGGTCTCTGGTTGGGGATAAATCATGTCCCCCGGGGGTGGCCGTCATAGATAAAGGACGATACATAAACTGCCATGTCAGTTGATGGCTGGGAGGGAGTATTTTATGTAGATGATACAGATTCTGCATTTAACCTTTATAGTAAACACTTAATGTCGCAGCAATAAATCTTAAAGCCAATAAAAAGAGAACACTCTGTAGATTATCGGATTCTTTATAATAAAATTATTAGTAAGCTGATACAAATACTGGTAAGAGATACAGAGTTTATGCATGTAAAGTGCGCAATATTTAAGAGAATGAATTAAAAATCAATAAGTATCTTGTGATAACTTAAATAACTTGGAATTGAGAGAGAGAGCGAGAGAGAGAGAGAGAGAGAGAGAGAAGAAATTGCATGGTCAGAGTACATGTGTTTGCAATGATAAGAAACAATGCTTAAATGAAATATATTTTTATGTATGGTCATCTCTAAATTATAGAATATAGTTCACAGCCTCGAGATGGAATTGACTGGAGGTCTCTAAATAGGAAAGTTAGCGGGGACGGGAATAGACGATTCTACAGCGGACCATGACGTCATACTGGGCTCTGAAACAAAACCAATAAAATGCTTTTTACATTCTCCATTACAACCTGTTTAGTTTGCTTTTATCATATATACTTTTAAAAATTGAGAAGTTTTCTAAATTTTAACCTCCAAATATGTTAAATGATCTGAACTCTGACCTGCGCCATTATGATGACTTCTGTAGTGTATCTTTAGCTCTTGTTGCTGGCTGAACTCAGTTCCGCAATATTTACAGTGGAAAGACTTATCTTTTACGTGGGTTCGTCTCACGTGGCTGTCGTGTGCGGCATGTGAAGCAAATGCCTTCCCACAAAATTTACACTGAAATAGGATTATATGTGCTCATGTTTGAAAAAAAAGAATATTACATAATTTTACTTTTCAAGCGGCCAAAAGTTACTTTTACGTTGACAGACTACCTTGAAGGGCCTCTCCCCCGAGTGTTGTCGAATGTGAGTACGGAGAATACTGGAGGCCGTGAAGGACTTGCTACAATAAACACACTTGTACGGCCGTTCTCCACTGTGTACCTGTCAAGGAAAATGTAAGGTGTAATGGAAAAAGAAACCCTGAATAGCAGTGCTGCAGGAAGAAAATCTAGGGGAAGGGGGCACAACCAAACATTCATTAAGTATTTGGCAATTTTTCTCGACAAGTTAAAAGTCCCTACAGCCATGAGAGATTTTACATGTATAAATTTACAGCTGCCTAGGAATTACTAGAAAACGTCAAATTCGTGTAATATTAATCAATCAATCATAGTCTTCCTTTATTTTATTCTTTACTCAAATACAATTAAGTGTTAAAAGTTGGGTATGTTTGAGAGGGACAGAACTTTGATTGTAACTATCGGTTTGTAATGATGTAGTATTGTCCAGACTATTACCCTCATGTGTTTATTTAGGCTGGAGCTCTGACTGAAGCTTTTTCCACAGACGGCACACTTATGTGGACGGTGTTTCTCATGGACATGGAGGATATGAATTCTAAGACGATCCCTTTTCTCAAAAGACCTGAAATGAAAATGTCTAAATTAATATTTTCGGATCATGATTTCTGTAAAAATATGACTGCAATAATAATGATTTATAAAAAGATTTAGAAAAACTGTATTTTGATTTGATTCATTTTTTGTTGTTTGTTATTTTGGTTGCTTAGCCTGTTTTAATTTGCTGATTTAAAAACATATTGTATTTTAAGATTAAACATGCAATCGAATGCCGAATCTTTTTGAATATGGGAAGGGAAAAAAAATCACTTTTGACCCCCATTTAGCTTCCATTGTAGAATCCCAATTTCTGAAACCTTATTGTACATTGAAAGGACACTCCAAATCATATTCCAAATTAGGAGTGGGCTAGTGACAAATAAAGCAAGAGGATTTCGAGGAATCGAGTTTTGTAGGTAAGCGACGTTTATTTTATGACCCCGACTTTGCATCAAGGACGAAAATAAAAATTCTGAAACGTTATTGCACATTATCTGGACACTCCCAATTTTGTTACAAAATAATATTGGGCTCCTTCAAAAATGTTAGAGGCGTTCAGAGAACAGGGTTTTGATAGGAAAATCTTAGTTTCACCCTTATTCGGCCACATGGTTAAAATAAAAAGATTAAAACCTCTCCGAGTAGGTTTTGAGCATGAAGAAAGTGGGACAGACGGACGTACTTAGATAAAAACAAAATACAAAAACTTTCTTGAAAAAGAGTTTATATAACCATGATTAACGTTTCGTGTGTGTCAGACTTTTTGCAATACCTTGCACATAAATGGCATGGGAACTTTCGGTTTCCTTGGTCGACGCACTTGGTGTACTTCAGATGCTTGTCTCTGTAGTATTTGTAAGCGAAAACCTTCCCACACCTCTCACACTGATATCCTTCCGCATCTAAATATTAACAGATTTTCAATCAATTGAATGCATGGTCTTGCATACTAGAGTTGCATGGCTACTCTAATTATGGACTATAAACTCTATCGAGCCTATCGCTGTATTATAAGACCTGACTGCAATGATAAATGCCAAGTATGGTATAAAACCCATCGTGTCCCAAAATCCCGCCATCAGAGTCTCAGCTTTAATTCCATTTAATAGCCCGATAAGCTTGTCTATCAGTCCCCTAAAGCCACCGCCGTAAAGCAGGCCGCAAACAAATCTTTTCATTTTCTCTGATTTCACGTCTGTAATTGGACATCTATTATGTTTAGTGAATGTTTCAAAGTTAGGTGACATTTATTTGGACCGCAGAGAAGCAATAAAACAATCGCTAAGTTAAGAAGATTCCATCATATAACTCTCTTGGGCCAGTGTTTTACTAAATCTTAGGCTATTAATGGGGGATTACAGAGGGAGGGAAGAAGACTCGGGCCCTCCAGTAATCTCCGGATTCACGTCCTCACCACAGTTACGACAGCCTCTTTGTTTTATCAGAAATAAAGACAGAGGATGAAGTAATAAAAACATCACTTCAAGAGTTGATTTTTTGTTCACCAAAACTTCCATTTTCTATCATCTGGGGTCTGTAATTCTGATTTTTTTTTAAGAGTAAAGAATGTTTACCATAAGGGCACCTGCTTGCAAATCTTATGAAACTAAGAATTGCATAGTATTGTAAAGTAGCTTTGGCATGCTCATGAGATTCTTTAAACTTACTTTCAGGTTCCAGAGAAATGTTGCCGCAATCTCCTATCCTCTGAAGCGTGACGGGTATACCCATAAACTGGGTGTACATTTCCCCGTACCAGACCAGGAGTTCAGCTCCCATCGGGATGTCTTTGCATACTTCATAGAAGATACATTCTCCATCCTGGATGACGACCAGATTCTGTTCTCCGGAATACCTCGCGCAGTTAACATAAGACATCCAATTTCCTGTTGCTCCACGGCCGTCGATGAAATGACTCAGTTTTCCATTTTTGAAAATCTACCAAAAAAGTTTTACCTGTGAACCCTGTATTATCATTTGAAGCAATCGAAATACCCACCTGCATTTCTCTTTTAACAACGCACTAACAGATGTTTCTAGGTAACACTACCAGCCTAACCAATTTTTGAAACATTTTAAATATCATGGATATCTTTACAATAAAATTGACAAAATCTAAATGCTTGCTTGGTATTGTGATGTAATTTCAATAAAATGTAATTAACTTATTAATGTTAATGCAATATTACAAGAACAGTACCTCCCACATAAAACTGTTGTCATCAAAAGTCTTAATTTCGCTGGTGTTGACGACTTTTCCTTTAAAGGGACCGAACCTTTTACCCTTTGGAATAGACTCCTTTCGACAAAAGACCCCATAGTGAATTATTCCAGCGAATGTTGTAGGACAAATGCAAAGATCTAAAAGAAAAAAAATGAGGGTCAATAATTGTCTTTGAAAAGCACCTTGGATGTGAAAGTACAAAACAACTCTACTCTTGGGAAAAACTATAGTCTTAGGAAGTACTTTAAGGGGGATATAAAACTGTGCATTACTATCAAAAAGTTCTTTAGGCGAAAATATAAAACTGTGCCTTACCCTCGGGCAATTCGTTCGGGGGAGGATCGGTGCGAGACAACTTCCAGGAATTCATGGAGCAGTGGGGTGACATTCCGTTCTGATGAGACAGAATTCTCTCTATCCCTGGCAATGGATGAATTATTTTCATTTATTAATCAAACACTTGAATTAATATGTCACATAAGAACATACATTTATATTACAAAATACCAGTAACAAATGCAAAGAAGAAAGATACATTGTGTTGAATTATTATATGAACAGAGTTTATTTAGCCCTTTTATCTGGTAGTGATAAAAAATTACCATGACTTATCTCCCCTATTTTGAGCCCACTCAGGGCATGGACAGGAGTACCCCTGCACCCAGAGTGGGAGAAACCAAACAGAACGTAATCCAGCTGCTCCTGGGTGAAGTAAAACGTGTTCTGTCTCTGCGCGGGTACAGGAAGATTGTGTTGTGCTGGGTACAATCGATTAGAAATGTCCGCCAGGGCCTTACATTGCAGGATTGTCGATCGTATGGACGGCATACATTCCCCATTTTGTCCTAAATGTTGTGAGTAGTACCCCGGCCTATATGAGTTTGAAACAAAATAATATCTTACTCAAAACCGTTACAAAAAGTGACCACTTTCGCCCTGAAAGAACATCACTAAATTAAATAGAAATCAACGTGATTTATACATTTATATGGCAAGCCCTTTGCTATTTATTCGTAAAATAAAATATATCTCAAAATTACAGAGATATCTCTCATTTTATAGAGATATCTCTTGGAAAATAGACATCACTCAACTTAAAGAGATATCTCTTATTTTAAAGAGATATCTCTTTGAGAAAGAGATATCTATTGAACTTAGCGAAATATCTCTTACATATATTTAGAGAGATATCTCTTTTAATTAGAGAGATATCTCTTCCACTTGAAAAGATATCTCTTTCTCCTTGAGAGATATCTTTTTCTCCTTGAGAGATGTCTCTTTCGTGAAAAGAGATATCTCTAAACTTTAAAGAGATATCTCTTTTAAATAGAGAGATGTCTCTTTTACTTTTGGAGATATCTCTCCAAGTTAAAGAGATATCTCTTAAAGTAAAAGAGACATCTCTCTAAGTTTGTATTAAGAGATATATCTTAAAGTGAAAGAGATATCTTTCAAAAGTGTCTAAAAGAGATTACTCTCAAGCGAAAAGAGATATTTCTTTGTTGCAAAGAGATATCTCTCTTCATTATTTTTATTTAAATTCCATTTAAAATGAATAAAATTCTCCCTTTACCGGAAGTAAGCTTTTTATTGACGGAAGTACATTAAGGTATGTCGCTCGTGAAATTTGTTAAATCAAGGATTTATTGAGAAGTATATTTTGGATAAGTATTCATATAGAGTGCCTCAAAATCGCGGAGAAAATAGGGGGTCAGTGTTCATCTTACTGGTCTACGGTACGATGAAGTTGACCTTTTTGCACCTAAATTCTAACTCTTTGGTTAATTACTTCAACCTTAATTACATTTTATCAGATGTAACCATGGCAAAAAATATTATCGTATTTTACGTAAAATATGTTGAATAATATTTATCATTGAAAAAATCTTACAAATTAATGCGCGTAAATTATTGTGTGACCTTTTTGACCTAAAAAGTAACATATTTGGGGGTATTAAAAAACTAGATAGGCAATAAAACATTTTCTTAAATCAAGCTTTTTACGACTTAAGTGCTGATCAGTCACAAGTATAGAGTACTTTAAAATAATGAAAGAAAAAGTTGGGGTCAGTGATGTTAATTTTGAAATATTGGTCAAAATGTGTGATTTTCAGGCAAAAAATGGTGTTAATTTTACATTGACTTATTTCACATATCTTCAATTTTTGGCAAAGTTTGTTGAAGGAAGGTGTAAAACTTGTTCTAAAAATATAAATTAAGACCTATATTAAATATTCCTAGCGATATCATAATGGAAAACATTTTCCGAGTAAAAGTATGTGAGGCTAAAAGTCCAGGATATTAAATTTAATAAATGTGCAGATTTACAGAATTATCTGCTAAATATCCTTCCACCACAAAAAATATTCCCTCGCAAATCTTGCTCCTTTGTAGCTTTTTGAGCAGTTTTTTTGTTGAATGTTAAAACATGAACATTGTTAAAATTAAATATGTTATAAAAATTGAATTTTGATAAATAGTTTTGAAGTAAGAGGTTGTGCGTGAACTTTTCCAAAAAGCTGATGAGTGACCTACCTTTTTTTAATTCGACATTTTCATGATATTCTACATTATAGCTTTACTAAACATAACAAGTAATTCAGTTTTGTCTAGATTTCAAATTAGAAATACTTTGAAATCACAATTTTTCTCGGGGGTTTACTTTTCTTTGTTTTCCTGGTATAAAGAGACCAACGAATTCATGTCCACCACGAAATGTAAAATGTTACATACATAACTACTCAACAAATCTTCATCCACGAATTCAAATCCCCACGAACCAAGGGTTTTTACTCCAACCACGAAAATATTTTACAGTCGTTGATTATTTCAATAGCTGAGAAAATTCGGTCAATTGTATTTGAGATTATATATATGCTTAATTACTTTCGTTTTCCTGAATATTAAACTTTTAGCATTTTTATCAACGAAGTTGCCATCATCATTTGTTGTTTCAAGTAAGGGATTTATCGTATTTTTATCTATACAGTACATACATTATTCTGGATAATTGCTTGCTCAGTCTTTTTTGTTATAACATCGAAATTATTCCAGAGAAAGAGATATCTCTTTCATTAAGAAAAATGTCTCTTTAGCCTATAGAGAAATCTCTTTCAGAAAATCTAAAGAGATATCTCTCTAACTAAGAAAGATATCTCTTTTAACCTTGTTAAAGAGATATCTCTCTTACAAAAAGAGATATCTATTTTGTATGAAGAGATATCTCTGTAAGGTATAAAGATATATCTTTTATTGAAAGAGATATCTCAATAAGCTAAAGAGATATCTCTCTTATTAAAAGACAATTTTTATTTCACGATAAATAGTAAAAGGGCTTGCTATACATTTAGATTTGGCATGCAATTCAAGCTGAAAAACATGATTTTTGTAATGATAAGAATTACATGAACTTGTTACAAAGCACTAGAACCAATAATGCTGTATTCAGAAAGAAAAGTCTATATAGTACCTATAAAATAAAATATATGGAGATAACTAACAGTATTCAAGCTCAAAAGTCCATTAAACAACACAAATTTTGAAGTAGAGCAAACACGGACCTCTAAAACATCAGAGATGGAGTCAGATGACAAAGAGGAGTGAGAATCCCTTGCCGACCGGTCAATTGAAGGCCAAGACAAATGTTTTTTTTTTCTTTTCAAATATAAGAATTTGAACAAATTCTGCTTTATATAAATTCAATGAATACAAAAACAGCACACAGGAAACAGCACTATTTAAATTGCACCTCCGAAAAATGTTGATGGTCATTTTTATTCTAACGTGTTTGAATAATTCCTGGGTTTTTTAAAAAGTGAGATCCAGAATTGTAAAAAAAAATACATTTTATTACCTGATAGAGATATATAAGATTATTCCCCTCTTAATTAAAATACTTTGATATAATAATACAAGTACTAGTACACCAAATATACATTAAAAAGACCTTTGTAACACAGATCATAAACAAGACGATGTTGCCACGTTGTGATGTACCCAAGGAGAAAACAAACGAGTGATTAAAAATATTTTTATTGCTGCCTTTTGAATTGTGCTACTTTTTAAAAAAAACTCCTTACAGAGATTCATTGCAAGTTCAAGCAAATGCTCTACTCCTCTTACTCCTTACAAAAATATAAATTGATGTTGATAAGAAACTAATGCTCTTTAGAATATCCTAGAAGTGTTGTAAATTAGATGTTGATTCTCACAAATTTGAAAGCTCATTTAGAAAATTCTAAATCGCCAGTAACGCCAGTAACATCAACATGTCAACTTTTGTACACTTTACACAACCACCTCTCACGATAAATTACAAACTAGACTATTCGACATCACGGACAACCGCTTTTTTCATAAAAGTGAAAGTTGGAATTTCATCTTTATCTTTCAAAGTCCTAGCAGTAAAATTTGTTAAAGATCACTCTTTAACATACAAGTACTCTGAAGTTGATATTAAAAGGATGCTGAAGTTTCTCATTGACAACATCTATTATATGTAGTCCTCGGAGACCATGTCTTCCAACAAACTTTTAATTCGAATTCAGAAGGACACTAATTGTGATATTTTATTAGCTGACCTGTTTTTGTGTTCATACAAAGCAAAATTTATGCAAACACTTCTACATATGAAAGAAAAAACTTGCTGTGGCCTTCAACTCGACATTAAGATATGTCGACTCGCTGTATCCCAATGAAGTTGAAATAAAAGACAACACAGAGTCTGCTACATCAGATTCATATTTGGATGCTTTACTGAATATGATCAATTAGTACCAATTGACAACTAATTTGTATGATAAACGAAATAATTTTAACTTTTCTACCGTCAATTTCCTTATTTATGTAATGATATCCAGAAGTTTAGAGAGGTTTATGATAAAACAACACTGAAGAGGACACTGAAATTCATAAGAACCAAGAAATTCAAAGCAGTGCTAAAATTAATGAATTAATAATAGAATGTTAATTGAGTGATTGTTAATCTGGATCTTAGAAGGCAATTAATATGCTGTATGCAGCTATATACACTTATTCATTATTAGGTTGACGCGTGGCATTAAATTTTTTGTGTGTGCTATTTCAAAAATATGCTCTGATTTTTACATAGAATACCACCATTTTAATAAGATTTACATGTAACCTACAACATATGTCAACTATGATAGAGTCGTCAAACGAAGCACAAATGAGAGTTTGTTCTGGAGTAATCACGTGATCAACTCCTTGGTATTTATAGGCTTAAAAACCTGATAATACGGCACAGTCAAAGTTTTACAACAAATTAAATATGAATGATTCTTTAATTCTATCATCATGATATCAGATAACACAAACACAATATAAAATACTGTTTCTTAAGATGTTTTTAATGTTTTATTCAGGCTGACTGAGTGCTCTTCATGAAAATTAATCTAATTTCTTTTTTTTCCTACCCTCACTTGGCGATAAAGAGAAACCTGGTTAAATAATCAATGAAAGAGCTGTAATTTGACTTGTTCTGTGATGTTTATCTTTTAATTCAAATGTCATTTAAGACAAACACTTAACGGATTTTCAAAAGATTGTTCCGTTAATTAGTTATTTTGTTTTATAAATTTACGACCATTTCAAGTTATAGATCAACGATCCGAATGAAAAATTAATGAAATGCGTTGCAATCAAAATGAATATATGGTATGAATTAAGATGTACCAGAGAGAATTTATCAAAATTTTCTAAATGAGAATAGAGAATTGCGATTTTGTACGACTTACTTAGTCACGGGAGGCTGGAGTGGAAGATTCTCCTTGTCCACGATACTCATTCTGTCGCCGGGTGTCACTTAATGCGAGTAATCGAGGGTAGTCTATGCTTAAATCTGTAAACCTAGCCAACTAACTGGCTTAAAAAGACATTAAACGCAGGGGCGGTAGTTCAAGAACTTGTATTACCATCAAAGTGATAAATTTTATAGTTTCATTGAACACATGCGAGTTTATTGAGATTTTAATGCGACACTTTGCTCGAGCGCCACCCGGTTTTGATTGAGGTCTTTGCCAGGGGCTTTCATAATAAGTTGGAGGTATCCAACATGAATTCTGATGAAAATTATAAATTCAACAACAGTTAACATTTATATGTCAATAATTAATGAGTATAAAGCTAATTAATTCTTTTAGTTACATTGAAACATTTCATTTTGAAAATTTCCATGGTTTATGATTATACAAGAATGTTAACGTAATTAATATATGATATATCCTGTTATAATTAATTTCTATAAAGAATATAAGAAATGTCATAATCTCTATCATAACAAGAATGCTAAAAATTAAAAATAAAATAATAGAATACTTTTTGTCAAGTATCATAATACTGATCATAAAATATGTAAAAATCAACCAATAGTCAGTTAAATGCTTAGAAGATTTATACTCTTGTAATAAAAATATTCCTAGTTAATAATGTAAATGCATCTGGACGATGAAAAAAATTGTATTACAGTAAAGTAGTAAACGCATTACATTTTATTTAAAATCAAATAAAAATCGTTTTTTAACGAAAGTTTGATTTTATGAATAAATTTTACACATTAAGCTGCATTGAAAATATCTCTATATCCATCACAGTGCCAAATAAATAAGATACCCCCCAAAAAATTACATCACATCTATCGGCTTCTGCAATTTGTTCCATTGCAGTTTGAACGACAGTTTTAATTTTTTTCAAATCTCGCCTTTTGTTTTTCAATAATTAAATACTTATGAAAAGTTCTTTTTGATTAAACTTATATTTCAAAAGAAGTAAAAGTAAATACTATAAGTTTTATGATATAACTTTTACATATTAATAGGCATACATTACATATAAAGACTTTCCATCACGTAAAATGATGACATATCTAAAAGAAACCCAAAATCAAACAAAATTATAATTCAGAATTGAATATGTAGATTTTATCGCCCAGTAGTTCACGTAATTTATTGTATAAACTATTCAATAATACAAACTTAATTCAAATGAAATCGAAAGGATACACATCGTGACATTAATACCTAAAGTGCAAATCAATGAATCATTGTACTTCCACCTTAACATGAACATAGACAGAACTAATGGATGAAAATTACATTATTTTAAAGCCTCGAAGAGAGCTAAATAGATTTTGGTTGAAAGATTATTATTATTATTATTATTATTATTATTATTATCATCATCATCATCATCTTTATTATTATATGGTTATTTTAAAATAAATTATCAGTGTACATGATTATTTTTAAAAAAAATCATCCTATTTTAACTTATCTTTAATTTTCCTGTGCTAAATCTAAAAGAAAAAAAAAACTTAAACAACACATTGATAACATTTGCAACCTGTCAAAAGTTTTTTGTATATGTTTCAATAATTTTGAATTAAACTTACGAACCATTAATACAAAAATATTTAGTCCCGTCAAGCACCTGCCCTTTTCAGATGCGCTGCTTCAACAGTTTTAAGGTTCTAAACAAATTTACCTCAAAAAGCATCTGTGTGCCCCAATTAGCTGCTTCGGGTGAATGCATATTAATTTTATATTTTCAAAACATAAGCTTTAAATCTACATATGCAAAAAATTATAGCTTAGAATGCCAGATATAATCTTTCAAACCCACTAAACATTAACTTAGCATGTGGCTAATGCATTACGTGTTTTTAATCTATAATTGATGATTTTGGTCATTAAACCAAAAATTAATTCTGTCTTTTCTTTTAAATTATATTCATTATTTTTTTTTAATTAAAAAGGGGCAATATTTCCTTTTTTTTCAAAATATATTAAGATAAGTCATTTAATACCTTTTATCAGCTTACAATACTTACCCAAACTGCACTGGGTTCTGAAAATAATTAGTGTTGTATGTTGGCTCCATTGGAGAAGGTTTAGAGTAGCAGTGTATTGTTGCAGTGACAGTTATGTACAGTAGGGAGAAAAAGACAATTCAGCCAATCAGCATAAAACAATAGGAGATTGTCATCGTATCGTCCAATCAAAAGACAGCATCCAGAAATTAAACTCTAAGATATTCCTCAGTCATCGATTTAATAAATAGAGTCGCAGAGCAAAACCTTTCAGCATATTTTATAATATTTCTGAAATTAAATTATTGTATATATTACAGTGTTCCATAGTATAATTCAATACTTTTGTTCGAAAATTGAAAACTGGCTTTGAAATTTTTATAAATTATGTTTTTAATACAATATTTATGTTATTGGAATGATAACAGAACAAGGCATTTTTGATTTTAACAAATCATTCTAAGCAATCATTATGTTGACATGTTTATTTTCAAAAGTATGTTTTAGATTAATAGTTTACAAGATAACAGAATTCTTGATTAAATGATAGATAACATACGGAAAATATTTAAATATACCGGTTAATAAAATAAGCAATAAAACTTTTTTCTCTGCTTATTTCAGAAAATTAAAACCTATTGAAATTCACCTATTTCAAGTGTTTTAGATGTTTTATTTGAACCGGAGACTTTGTATCTCAGAGGTATACAATATTTATACATAAGATTTGTACAGGCTATACAGTATACATGTGTTAATAACATAACAATATCATTTAATCATTTTTTAGAACATCATTTCTTAATTGGTAAGAAAAATACAAAAATTTACCTAGGTTACACAGTTAAATTTCAAACAATACCTTTTATATATTTAATTTTGGTTTGTTTTTTATTTACTTATTTTTTTTTTTTTTTTTTTTTTGGTTTCTTTTTTTGTTTCTTTCTTTTCTGTTTTTTTTGGTTGTTGTTGATTTATTTTTCTTGGCGTAAGATAAACTTACATTCATAGAAAGTCTTCATAATCTGTGAAAGGCTTCAGATGTCACTTATCCGAAAGACCTGAGATGTTATCTACGCCAGAGCGGTGTACCTTCTTATAAGTATCATCTGTTAAATACGTTCAATCATACTTCTTTTTGTTTATAATGTTCCCCGTTTTTATAATGGCTAAATTACAAAAATTAACAATCCTATATTATGTGTGTAGCTTATTTGATAATTAAATTATGTCAGCAAAATTAAAATGTTTCTATCAATACAAAAGGATGTTTATCTACATTTTACCAAGTAACTTCAAGATCCTGAATTACTAGCTGTTCATAATGGTCATATAAGCGACAATTTTCAATTGCACAACGTCTGTTGTCATTTCATACTATTTTACTCATAGTCTTGGCCACGTAATTGTAGATTTCATAGAGAAACAACTTTTTCCGACTTAATATTATCAGTCTAGTACTCTTAACCCTAAGTCATAATTATATGCTTCCCCTTACAAATCTACACTAAGTACCTTTTGTGAGACTAGTTAGTTTTTTTTTTATATAATTCTTTTATTTAATTCATTTAACCTTTTATTTGTCTCTAAATCCGCATCAATATTATATATTTAAGGCCGAATCAATTCTGTTTGGGAGAAAAAAAGAATTATCCAAATCTAATGTATATAAAAAGTACTGTAAAACTTTCAATAAGAACAAATATTTCAAATCATCTATGACATCTTCAAACTTCTGCTTCTTCGCCGTTGTCGGTTGCGACACACCTCTGTAATGTGCTCTATGGTCGCATCACTGCTCACGACCTGCGCCTTGATTAGCTTTCTTCACGGTAATAATCAAGATATCGGCAATGAAGTTAGCCTAATGTTGTCTTCTAGCGCGTTTGGGGAGACTTGGATCAATGAAGAGACTACGCCATGGTACATTTGATGAAGAGATTCTCTCAGAAGTATATGCAGGCCAGTAGAAAGCAACAAATTGGAAAATAAGAAAAGGACAATATTGTCAACCGCTTATTACAACTCAATTGTCATCAAATGGGTGTAAAATACCAATTAATTTGTCTTTTAGACCATACATCAGATCAACGGGTCTGATAAGAGCTTTGTATGATTTCCCAGGTAGTGTTACCTTTACAGATGACGATATGATTTCAATTTGACGTCTGATTTTTATGATGTCCAGGGAATGTTTTGACGCTATAAAGAACAAGATTTCAATCTGTCGAACACTGTCTTTGACAAGATGGAAGTATGTTCTTTGTGTTTTTATAATCTCTGCATGTTCTAATTAATTTTTAAGAGTCTGCACCTTTTTCCTGTCCCCAGTACTGTTTCAACGACGACATAAGAGAAAGTTGGTGGAAGGGCTAAAAAAAAATTAATAAAATACATGGTATTCAAGATAATCTAAGGTAGTTCAATCGAGTAGAGGACGCACAATATACCAAAGATAAAAAAAAGAAGAAAAGACTCATTTTGCTAATTCAAAACATATTCTCCGCATGAAGAATAGAGATACACGTATCGAACAGATTTCAAGCTCAGATACAAATACAGATCAGGAGTAAAGCAAAAATAATCCTCTGAAATAACAGAGGTGGGATCAGGTGTCATGGAGAACTTAAGTCTAAATAATAAATACTTATCATGCGATATCTAATACAAATTATTATTTATTCTTCAACAAAAAATATATAAATAAATAAATAAAAATAATAAGGCAATTTCAAGAAATACTAGTATTCTTTGATTATGATTTATTTTGCAGGTATAATATACAAAAAAAAAATCTTCAATATGTTCAAAAAATTGTTTATCTTACCATTTTAAATTGAAATAAATATAAAAGCAAAATACAGGAATTAAAACTGGGGGGATACTTTTTAAAATTCCTACTGTTTTATTTCTTTCTTTATTCTTTATTTATTAATTCCCAATTTTTTTCCCTCAACAGTCATCTTTTAGACAAAATGATTAATTCTAAATCTTGACATGAAATATATGGAGATAAGGAACAGTGTTCAAGCTCAAAAGTCCTTAAAACAATACAAAAAAAATAGGAGCAGAGCAAACACGGACCTCCAAAATATAATAGATAAAGTTTATCATAAACTTTAAAGTTGATGCTGTATAGATAGACTAGAGATTCGTATTGTGATGTCAACTTAGAAATATCATATATTATTCTTTCTGTTATGAATATACATGCATTTTATAATATTGATTAACCTTTCTGTATGACATATTTCTCCGGAAAGTTCTCTATATACTATATATTAATATAACAAAGATCCCAGAGATTATTTTTTTTTATAAAAATGTAGGAAAATTTATTGTTTTTAGATACAATTTTAAGTTTAAGTTTGAAAGAAGGTTGATAAATTTATGGAGAGGGCTTACATAGGCTTTGCTTGCTGCCCAATCTGTTTATGTGTAATAACATAATAAAATATGTTCAAATCAAATCAATGAATTTAAGAATGCCAAACAGATTGTCATATCATCAAACTTTATATCCTCAGTTGAGACTGAAAATTAAAATATGATACATTAACATAAAATCATTTCGTATTCTATATAGAATTCTTTTCCGCTAATTTAACCAAACTCATTTTGCTGTCCAGTATTAAAGCCAAAAATTTCAAATTAGAAGTTTTCAACTTATTCTTTGAAGAATATTTAATTTAGAATTCATAAACTTCCAAAACAAAATATAATAAAAATTAAATATAAAAAAAAATGTCAGGAGATATCAAATATTAATCAAGCTCAAAAGTCCTTTTTCATGTACAATACAAATCAGTAACAGAGAGAACACAGACTCGAAAACATAAGATGTTTGTCTTAGAGGAGTAAGCACCCCTACCGACTGGTCATACCCGCCGTGTGCTGCTTGTCATGATCGGAAGATATGGAAAAAAAAATTGTATACAATAATGGCCTAACAACTAGCATAAAAACGTCAGTCAGCATTTTACTTAAGGATAAATTGTATTTTCTAACAAGGTCATTGTATCGATCACAGAACTTATGAAATGATGACTTGAAACGAGACTGCTGATATTCTTGCTTCATCAACTTGTTTTTTTTTTTTCAATAACTTACCTCGTTTTAAAAATTGTTCATACAAAGGACATGCGCTTACGTATCACACCAAACCCGCTAATTATGCAAATGATAAGGGTATATTGCTGCATACGTAAGGGAAGTTGACAACTGTAACGTTAAATTCATCACATTTATCATATTAAGTAGCCATTTAATGCCTTGCATCAAACTTGCCTCTTCTTTTTAAAATGCAAATACAACTACACTTCTTATAAGTAAATTACGGTTATTTAAACAGAATGAACCGATTTCCTTAAATATTCAAAAAAAAAAAAAAAATACCAAACTTAAAACAATAACAAAACATAATAGGAACATATACATTAAAATGATGGTAACATAACGAGCATCTTAAATAGATATTTTTAAGAAGCTAAAATCTTTTTTTTAAAGTAACTGCCCAACATCTAAATCATTATTATGGATAAGTAGGAATGTTTTCAATGCGAAAAAATACTTCTTAGGTTAAAAGGTGGATTTTTCCTAACAAAATAGTACTGTGGAAAACTAAAGTTAAGTTTGCTATAATTAAACGGTTTAAAAGGTTTAGTACTAAATGCGCCTCTTTATAAGCAGACTTTTGTGTTTTTAATATAAAGCAGAGTTTATTTCAAATCGTATACATGAGGAGACATTTAAAGATATATTGACGACGTATTACAAATTAGTAATTGTTATTTCCATTCGTATGTCGACACAATGGGCCTATATCTTACTGAGCTTGAAATAAAAGACACTGTCTTCCCACAAATAGGAAATTTGGTGTTATGAACCAAATTTTCTATTTTAATAAAAAGAGCAAGGTTCACCCTGGCCATTTTTAGCCCTGTGAATTTCTGAAAAATCAGAACTACTCAGTTTTAGTTGAAAATATGCTAAACTTTACTTGGACCCTTGGTGACTTCATATCAAATAAAAATGACGTAATTTTTTCTCTTTTCAATGTATTATGACCTCATGAATTTCGT